CTGGGTATAAAGTCCATAGCTGGACTGGGGCTGTGCAGCTGGATCCTTTGCTGCAGGATGCACCATGGAATCTTTCCACCAGACACCCGTGGGGCGGGTGATCACCAGAAACAAAACCACCTCTCGTGCCTGCTGGGCCATGAGGCCAGGGGTCTGCGTCGGCGGCCAGCAGCCTCTTCTGTAAGGGGCCGGTCGGTGAACGTCCTCGGCCTCCTCCGTGAGGTGCCCACGCTGTTGGCGGAGGGTGGAGGCAGCCGCAGACACTGGAGGATGACACGGACGAAGGCCAGGCTGAGCTCCCGTGACTCCGTTTATGGAAATAGGCAGTGCCCATCTGGCTGTGGTTTGAGACCCCGGCTCTGCACATCCCAACCCAGGAAGGGCTGCCTTGGACACTCTTCCCGGCTGCCCTGCATGGGCTGTAGTGTTCATGGAAGCGCGGCAAAAATCTCTGGCCAAAGCCCCGGCTCCCACTTGGCTAGAGGAAGAGGCAGCTGGAGTCCTGTGCGTGTCCCTGACAGCTCGGGCCCGGGAGTGGAGGAGGGAGAATGGCTGGGCTTCCAGGGCAGAAGCAGCACCCCCTGAAGAGGTGGCCCATGAGGAGCACAGGGGCCTTTGGGGTGCGTCGTTCCCCCTGGAGCCAGCGGCCCCTGGTCCCGAGCAAGTGTCCTCTGAGCAGAGGCTCTGGCTCCTGCTGTGGGCGCACTCAGTGCCCCGCCCGCTCCTATCCTGAGCAGAGCTGCTGCCCGTGGTGGCGCGGGGCCTCCTGTCACACCCTGTCTTCAAGAACCGAGTTTTATTGACAGAGCTGGAAGCTTCGCCGTAGTGGACTTGGTTCTTGCAGGACCAAGGCCAGCTTTTCTAAGCAGAGCATGGCCATGATTCTGCTTCATGAGCTAAGGCTTCTTTCCACTGAGTGATTTTCCCCACATCAGAGTTCTTGAGCGGCCAGAATTCCGGATGGCAGCTGTGAAACTGCCATCCCAGAGGACACCCAGGAGGCCATACCGTGGGAGCACCAGCAGCACGGCCTGAAAGAGGTGCCGATTCAGATGGAGAAGACCCCACCAGAACAGCCAGGGGCGGTCAGGATGAGGCTGTGCAATCTCTTGAGTTTCCCAGTAAAGCCAGGGACACCTCTGCCGAGGCAGCTCGTGACTGAGTTTCCCAGTGAAGCCACTCAAAAACAGCCACAGCCCAGTCAGCAGGGGGCCAGGAGCCTCTCCCATCCTGGGCAGAGGGAAGGCGGGGCAGTTCACAGGGACCCAAAGCCAAGACTAAGCCCTTGTAAGGATTTGGGGTGGCGGCTAGGCTGGTGGGGGCCCCTTCTGAGCTCCTCCCTATGGGACCTGCAGCCTTTTCTTCCTGGGGACACAGCTCCCAGGCACAGCATTTGTGCTGGACTAGAGATCCTGAACCTGTCCCACAACCTGGCCATGGCCCCATTTTTAGGAAAACAAAATGAACCCGTAGTGAAGGGCATCGTGAGATCTGCACAGCGCAGCCCTGGCCTTTCTGGGAGGCTCCCGGTAAGAGGGATGCGAGGTCTGGAGAAAGTGCACATGGTCGTGGCCTCCAGGGGTCTGGGCCAGGCAGGGGTCAGAGGAAGCTATAAGTTCTTCCTTCGAGTGAAAATGTGGAAGCTCTCAATAAGGAGAGGAAAATAATCCTATGCTGAGATAAAGATTAAAGAATGAAACTTCTATCTGGGAAGCTGTGAACACTGTATTATTATTATAATGGTTCTGTTTTATTATTGTTGTCAATCTCCTACTGTATCCAATTTATAAATTAAAATTGATCGTAGGTGTGTACGTATAGGAAAAAACATAGTGTCTACAGGGTTCGGTACTGTCTGCAGGTTCAGGCACCCACTGTGGGTCTCGGAACGTGTCCCCTGCGGGGGCTTCTTAGTGTCTATAGGGTTTGGTACTGTCTGTAGTTTCAGGCACCCACTGTGTGTCTCCAAGCGTCTCCCCTGCAGGTAAGCGAGGGCTCCTGTATTGACATGTTGTGCCACAGTCAACCTTCCATTTCCCTGGGTTCCCTGTCCTTAGATTCAACCAGCCTCCGAGACAAAATATTCAGGGAAAAAAGCTAACAATACAATGATAAATAATAGAAGTAAAAAACAACACAGTGTAACGACCACGTATGGAGCATTTACATTGTATCGGGCATGATAAGTAATCCGGGGGATTTAAAGCAGAGGGCGCGCTTAGGTCATATGCAAACGCAACACCATTTCATAGGAAGAACCTGAGCACCTGTGGGTTTTGGTGTCCTCAGGGGGTCCTGGAACAAGTGTCCTGTGGATCCGAGGGATGACTGTATACAAAGAGTGTGTAGCACACAAGTTACAGAAAATAACAATACGTGCAACGCCCTTATGCGAAATTCCATGTGGCCATTGACCCTCTTAGGATGCTTCAGTTGGTTTTTGCCAAACTCTTGTGCCCTCGGCCAACCTGTGGTTTCGAGTGACCCAGGTCCTGACAAAATCAGACGGCCACTGGGAACCTCAGTCATGAGTTGCCCCAGCAGAGGTGTCGCTGGCTTCACTGGGAACCTCAGGCACGAGCTGCCTCCCTTCCTGAAGTCACAATCCACACAGAGACGATCCACAGAGCAGAAGGTCACGCCCTGGTCTGCAGCACCTGTGGGTTTCCAGCTGCCCAGGGGCCTCACCTGTGCCACCGGGGCGGGGAGAGGGGGGCAGTGCCTGCCCGCAGCATTTCTACCATACAGCGACAACAGACGTAAGCGACCCCCAAAAATAGTTGTAAAAAACAATTAGGAAGTCTTGAGTTTAGGTAATTATTACCTTAATAGGTATTGAAGTACCTATTTTATTAAGTACCTATTTTATTAAGATTTATTTAAGTACAAATTTCTGTGATTTGTTCGCAGTGGCTGTGTTTAATGACGGGCCTTCCACATCCTTGAACGTTTAGCAGCGGATCCCTTGAGTGGGTGGGACAGGGAAGACCCTCTGCTTCCCAGAGAGGGCGAGGAGCAGATTTGCTGTGTCTTTTGTTCACTCCTGCACAGGTGTTTGCTCCCGGGGCACCTATAGGTGAGGAGTTGTAGAGTGGAGTGCCCCACACTAGGCCACCTGTTTCCATCCCACGTGCAGGCCCAGGTCAGTTAGATGTTCCAGCCCCCGAGGGGAAGCTCTTGGGCTCACTTTGGGGTCACAGCTCTGAGGGGGAGAAGCTGCCCCGGAGGCCAGAGTAGGGTAGAAGCAGCCACCAGCATGGCACCCATGAGGGGTGATGCTCAGGACAGTGACCTGAGACCCTGGGGTCTGCCTTCAGCACATGGAAAGTCCCTCGACTGTCAACCCGGGTGGAGTCATGCAGGAAATGGGGCTCCGCGCCTTCCTGAGTGCCCACCTGAACCTGGAGTGGGTTGGATGGTAGCGCCAGTGCTCCTCTGTCCAGGTGCGGGGTTCTGCCCCATCCCAGTGTGTCTCTGGGCAGGGTTATCAGGGCCACCCTGTGCCCTGGAGTTCAGAGCCTTCTGAGGCTGACCTGTCCCTCCTCATGGTCCAGCCCTCATCCTGACTATTCTCCTGGTCTGCAGAGATCTTCCTGTCCTCATGTCCACTGTCTGTCTGCAGTTGCTTGGAGAAGGTAGGTTCCATCCTCATGTGAACAGCAGACAGTGCGTGAGGGGAGAGCCCTGGGGACCCCACCCTGCTCTGCCCAGCCTCCCCACCAAGCACCCCTTGTTCCGCCTCTAGTTCTGCTGGGCTGGAGCTCCCTGGGTGGGAGTCTGGCCTGGGACTGGCCCTAGACAGCTTCAGGATAGGAAACCTTCCGCCCTGGGGGCTGCAAGGGTCCCTGAAGGCAACGTCCAGGCTGGCAGGGTAGTGGGTGCTGGAGACAGACCTGGGGAAGTGGCTAGGGCTGTGGGTGAGCCAGTGGTGGGGGCCAGGAAGCGAGGTCAGGCTCGGGCTGGAGACGTAGGTGGCAGCTGCTTCACCAAGGCAGGATGCTGTGGGGAAAGAGGGGGACCATTATTCCTAAAGAAACAACAGCTAGATTTAGAAAATCTCCACCAGGAGGGAAGCCCTAAGCTCTGTACTTTGTATAAATAAATGGTGTCTGTGAAATCCAAGATATTCTAAAACATCTTCTAAGCAGGAATAATTCCTGCATTTCATGGTGAGGGGTTCAGTGACTTTTGAGAGGTCACACAGTGGTCACCAGCAGCGCGACCTGGACTGAGGGGACCTGGACCCCCTCAGCGCCTGGCCCAGACTTCCCTATCTGAGTGTGGGCTGCTCAGCGCCCTGGGCTGAGCCTCAGTTGCTGGCCCGGGAAGCTCCACCTTGACCCCAGCCTATGGTGGGCCGGCTCCAGGCAGGCCCGGTGGGATTCTGTGGAGACCCCCTCCCTGTCCACCTCTATCAGCCACCCCCGGCTCCTCCCGGAGCTTCCCCCTCGGAATCCAGCTGGAATCCAAGTCCCAAACACCCTCTGTTTTCAGGGTCGTGCTCTCCAGCTGGAAGGGCCAGAGGAGGGCTCTGGGACGGGACACACTGGGGACTCCCGAGGCAGGGGCATGAATGCCATCCTGGCACTCTAGACTGGGGACTGCCAAGGCAGGGGCGTGAATGCCATCCTGGCACTCTAGACTGGGGACTGCCAAGGCAGGGGCGTGAATGCCATCCTGGCACTCTAGACTGGGGACTACCAAGGCAGGGGCGTGAATGCCATCCTGGCACTCTAGACTGGGGACTCCCGAGGCAGGGCATGAATGCCATCTGGTCACTCTTCATCTCTTTCCAGGGACCAAGGTCCCCATGGACGCTGGCTGGGCACTGAGCCTGGTGTGGTGTGGCACTGCCAGGGCTGTCTCTCCCCTGGGGCTTTCCCACCGCTGGTCTTGCTCCGAGGGAGGCAGAGGCCAGGTGGATGTCCCGCCTGAGGACGGTGGCCAGCAACCCTTCTGCTGTTGCCTCGCCTGTGGCCACATCAGGCTCTCCCCGTCTCTCAAGCCTCCAGGCCTCTGCTCTGGGGTGCACAGAAGTGGGCAGAGGCTGTCACAGTGTGCACAGGGCAAGATGGTGCAGGGGCTGTGGGTGACAGGGAGGGCATGATTCTGGCCACCCCATGTGGAGGAGGCTGGATGTGTGGAGGTCCCAGGTCTGAGTTGACTCAGGACCCCAGAGAGGGCATCCAACTGGGCTGCTTGGGGTGTCTCTTCCTGGGGGCCTGTCATGGAGCAGGAGCTGGGGTGGCTTTCACTCCATCCACTCTTGAGCCAAGACCCACAAGCGTCTGGCTGGGGCAGGGCCAGACCTGCAGATGTGGTGGCCTTGGCCACAGGCAGTGCCCTGACTCACCTTGAAGCCTGGCACCTCCCCTCCTCCATCTCTGAGGGGCAGCCTTCTCTGGTGGCCATGGCCTCCACTCCTCCTTCTCTGGTGGCCACAGCCTCCCCTCTTCCTTCTCTGGTGGCCATGGCCTCTGCTCCTCCTTCTCTGGTGGCCACGGCCTCCTCTCCTCCTTCTCTGGTGGCCATGGCCTCCACTCCTC